ACTGCCTTGAGGGAAGCTGTAACGCTGTAACACTTTTCTGCAGGAAACTTCCTCAGATGTTCTTTGCTGATGTGCTCAGTATGGCCATTGCCATCCAAATAGGGGAATACAGTTCTTATATTTAGAATGACTTTCCTCCAGCTATTTTGTGGTTAGCTAGCTATTCAAGTATTTGCTTAGGTTATTTCATGAAGTCATATTTGATGTAATCAGATGTATATGGCTGTTAGTAGAAAAAAGAAATGCTTCTTATTTAAGCCCGCTATTTGGGTCCTTGTACAGTAATGTCTGACTTCAGTAACACATCATTTGAAGTGAATCACTTCCTCACACAAAGTTTTATTTTTAGACACAGTGTTGTGAGTACAATGTCTTTTCAGTGAGAGATAGTAATTCAGGACTTCCTACCCATAATTGTCCATAGAGGAGACACCCATTGTTCAATCCAGTGTTTCCAAATCAAGGGACACATTTATTCAAAGAGGAGAAAGTAATGATTTACCCTACCATTACATAAGTCTGTTGAATTAGACGTATCTTAAGCCTGTGGTCTCTTCTTTTTTTTTATGAAAACACATGTTGTGAGTAGTGTTCTTGTGGGTAATGATCACATAGGTGCTACATATTTTTGTCACTGTGTAATGCCACGATTTAATTTCAGTCAAAAGAGATGTGATGGATTCCCACGGACAACCTTTCTTGCTCAACTGTGGGAGATTAATCTTTAAATGCAGTTCAACTTGATCCAGGTGTTATCCAGGAGTGGATTTTATGTTTATAGGTCACTCTCTCATTCAAACACTTATATAATATATATAAATATATGATAAACACTCACTAGACTAAGCCTGGTTCCTGAAAACTGCTACCTGTGACGGCACCCACCGGTCACTCAAAGCGACCACGCCCTTAATTATGCATGTATTTAACAGCAGTTTGGCTTTTGAAATCATGCTAAAATTGTATTTATAGTACAAAAAAAAATCCTATGGTTTAGTGTATAATCACATTAATTATAATTATAATAATTATGTTATGTTTTTGTTATCTTAGAATGAGCTGGTTTTATCTACAGAGGGAGTGGATCCTCTTCTATGGAGTCCGCCATGTATTACAGTAGCCCAGAATGCACAAACCAAATGGTGGCTATTGATTGGGCCTTTTGCAAGTTTTAAGGCCACTGTAGTTTCAACTACATATAGTTGCAATCATAAATATTCGACCCCCCCAAAATTTTTTCCAAGAGCAAGATTCTGCTTCGGATGACTTCTTCATGAGTTGAGTGGTAATAAAGTCTACACAGAACATGCATGATGTAGTATTTGTGTGTAAGAGTATATTTTGTTAAGATAGCATGTCACAATTATTCAACCCCTATATAATTTTGCTGTTTTTAAAGATGTCTGACAGTTTTTATGGCCTAAAGTGGAGTTGAAACATAATTAGGCCTTTGGGAAATCTATAATGATCCTTCATTTGCTTCAGCTGGGATATATATATATATATATATATATATATATATATATATATATATATATATATATATATATTATATATTATATAAACCCCACCCATGAAGGTATTGAAGGTGAGCTGCAATCATGGGAAAGACAAAGGAGCTTCCACAAAAGCTGAGAGGGAGAATATTTTAAAACACCAAAAAAAAAAAAAAAAAAAATGGAAGAAGCCCAACATTTCATCAAGGGCCCTTAGCAACTTAATCAGGACAACTAAGAGAAACTCCTGTGTGACTGCAAGACACCTACAGGATGACATGATGAAGGCTAGTACAAGTGCTTCAGTGTTAACAATAAGACTGCACTGAATAAACAAAGACCTCATGGCCGGACTCCAAGACACACTCCACTCTTGACCACAAGGAACATCAAAAGTCGACTAGAATATGCCAGGAGGAATTTGGATAAGACTGCAGAGTTTTGGGAGACAGTTCTATGGACTGATGAAACCAAACTGGAACTGTTTGGACATATGGACCAGCGGTATGTCTGGCGTGCGGAAGACCAGGCTTATGACCAGAAGAATACCATCCTCATGGTCAAGCATGGAGGTGGGTCATTGATGATGTGGGGCTGTTTTTCTGTGGCAGGAACTGCTAATCTTTATCGTGTACCTGGCATCATGGATTCCCAGAAATACCAGGCCATTTTAAAGAGTAACATGATGCATTCTGTTGACAAATTAAACCTTGGTGATCATTGGATCGAGAATTTTAAGAAGCTTGTCAGTACTTACTGAAAACGTTTGTTAGAAGTTATAAAAGCTAAAGGATGCTCCACAAAGTACTGAAGCTGGGGGTTGAATAATACTGCATATGCACATGTGTTAAGAGTTACATTTTTCATTTGAACTTCATAGTTAAGTCAGCTTCTGTTGTCCAAATAACTCAATATGTATCAATAAATATTTTTTGTTTAATAAGGTTTTTTCTCATTTATTGTCATTATCTTTATCCACATCACTGTAATGTCTTTTGAGGTGAGGGGGTTGAATATTTCTGATTGCAACTGTATTTAGAAGGTGAGTGGTATCAGTTGCAATGCTCAGCTTCACCGCTAGATGCCGCTAGCCTGCACACTGGTCCATAATAAATAGAGATAATAAGATAAACAATATCTATGCATTGCAACTATGGCATTTGAGGATAGGGAAAGATCATAGTCCAACATTTTGGATTTATTCTAATGGATCTTCAGAGGGAGAGTGGGTGCTGTACTGATCTCAGCCTGTGTGTGTGGGGGGGGGGGGCTTATCCCAGCTCACTGGGAGTTACTGTAGCTTGTTAGCGGCCCTCCTACCAGTGGAGCTGTCAGGTTGTGTTAAGCAGTAGTGTCATGGGCCAAGTAGGACAGAGGAAACTCATGCACGCACGCACGCACGCACACACACATACACCCACGAACGTACCTATACCACAAATACAAGAAGTACACACAGCCATGCATTCAGCATACACACCAACTCCTGCATGTCTGTTCATCTGTAATAAAACTGCCTTGCGAACAGTCTGATCCCTGGAGCCTTTTGCTATAGTCGCCTGGGATGTGAACTCACTGTTATATAAGGTCAGAGAGGGGACTTCTTACAGTACTGTTACCTGCACTACTAAGTGCAGGCTAAATGGGTGTCTTTGTCTAGCACACTGACAGGCCTCAAACTGGAAAAACACATCCACTTTTAATCTGTATCACCTCTTTGCTGCCTGTTTGTTGAGATTTACTGGACTGAAACCAAGTCTGTTTGGATGGAGGTGTTAGAATTGGCCGGTTCAACCCAGTTGAACCAGTTCAATCCAGTGATTTTTAAGGATTGGTGTTGCCCCAAGCAACAGCTTGTCTTTGCTCACCTGCTGAGTTGTGTGTGGGAAGTTGGTGATGAGAGGTCTTGCAAGTCAGAGTTCACCTTTTATTCAGCTTGTGACCATGTGGATGTGCACGATCGTGAATCAGTAAAAACACTGATGCCACCCCAATGTTTGAAAAATAGGGAGTAAAACATTACATTACTCTGCAGCCTTGTTCTTATAGACTGTTGAAAGCCTATGATCACTCTGTTGAATATTTATTTTTTGTTTGCACAGGAATAATGACATCTGAGTATTGGTCTATTTTGTTAAACTGAACTGTAATGGGCGCCCGGTTAGCTCAGTTGGTAGAGCTGGTACCGAGGCTGAGTCCTGCAGGTCTTCGCTGCGTGTCGTCCCCTCTCTCTGCACCCATCTCCTGTCTACCTTCAGCTGTCTCTATCAATTAAAGGCAATAAAAGCCCCCAAAAATACTTAAATTTCACATTAGCTTTAAGCCTTCCCTAAGCAGCTACTTGTTCTTTGTTAACAATCAAGCTAATCACAGCCTTTATGTGTGATGATATTAAAGCCTGCCCCAAGCAACAGCTTATTCTTATTAGGAATAGAGCCGGTCAGGGCCTCTGTGTACAGGACTAAAGTTGGTGATGGTTATGGCGCTGTTCCAGAGTCACACATAAGGACAATTTAGACAAAGTAACAATCAACAGTTTCACCATCAGTGCTCATGACATATTAAAGTCTATGTAACACAATAAGTATGCTCACTAAGTCATTCTTAAGTGAGTTTATCTTGTAGTACAACATTCAGCTACAACATGTCACATGAGGCTTTTACAGTGTGCCTATTCAAGCAAGCTGTGGGTTTTGACTGCTAACAAAATAGTTGTTTTGCCTTTTGCCTCTGTTTTCTGTCTAAAGGAAAACTGGTAGCCGGGTAGCTTCATCCACACAGCAAATGGAACCACTGCATTCTTCTTTTGGTAACATCATGTAGCACAACTCACATTGACATAGGGTGGCTCAGGGGTTGGTACTGTCGCCACATAGCAAGCAAATTCTAGGGTTGAAGATGTGAAGTGTGCATGTTCTCCATGTGCCTTGCTCTGGGTGCTCTGGTTTCTTTCTACAGCCCAAAGACATTCAGGTTAGGTGAACTGGAGACTCTAAAATGTGTGATAGCCTAGCCTGGCAACCTGTTTTGGGTCTACCCTGTCACCCAATGTAGTCTGGGATAGAATCCAGTTACCCCAATGCTACACACAATAAGCAGCTATATGAGTAGATGGATTGGTGGGTGGATGAAACTGAAGTCAAAATTACAATGAAAAGTAAAAATAAATTAGTCAAAACATTTTTCTTCCTTGCTGGTTTTCTTTATGTATGCACCTGCTATCTTCCAGTTTCCCAATGGTCTGTTCATCTTTAGTGGATTATGATGTTTGGTTTGCTTTGAGGATCATCAAACTCTGAAGGAGAGCATGGGAGAAGACCTTGGTCCCATTAAAACATGACTCTGGGGCACACAGGAATGCTATAATTAAAACCCAGAGGGCCCTGTCTTGTTACATTTAATTGGATTCTATATCATTCTCATGGTATAACTTGCTTTTCATTCGACTTGTTGCATTGTATTAACTGTTTGTCTTATTGCTCCTCTCTCTTCCCTGTCTTCCAGAGTCTGCAGCTCTCCTCTCAGGGACTGTCTTCTGCAGCCCTTCTCTGGTCACGGGTCTGCCTGGCATCTCTCATCCATATCATTCCTCTTTCCATCCACCCATCCTTTCCCCTGTCATGAAAGGCCTGTCCAGTAGTCGGAGTCACCATCAAGTGGTCTCCTATGAACCATCATATGATCCACTGGGTCACCATGTTGACCGCAAGCCATATTTGATCAGTCAGAATGACATTCCTGTGCCCATTCCCATGCCACATCCAGCTGAGCTGTCCTACTACAATGCTCAACGTACCTCGTACCCCTCTGACAGCAACAGCATCGTCCCATACGGAACCTTCCCAAGGAGGTGCCACTCCACCTCCTCATCTCACCATCCTGAGGTAAAGGATGAGTGTATGGCCATGGTACCATATGTAGGAGGAGGAGGGGGAGGAGGAGGAGGTGGAGGAGGCTATGGAGGTAAAACGCCCACCCGGGTACCAGCAAACTTTGCGGACCCGTTTGAGCGTCAGCTGTCATTTTCCAGAGATGGCTACCATACACTGCAGTACAAACGAGGAGTTTTGGCCCACAGTGGGGGGATGGGGGCCAACAACAACAACAATGACAGCCCAGGGAGAATTCGCCACCTGGTCCACTCAGTCCAAAAACTCTTCACCAAGTCACATTCATTGGAGGGGCCACACCACACACAGTCCTCCAAGGGGGCCAATAATGGGAGCGTTAATGGTGGTGGTGGTGGTGGTGGAGGAGGTGGTGGTGGTGGTTCAAGGGCCAGCCCAGAAGGTGAAACTCCACCAGTGGGAGTGCGCCACCGGAAGCGCAGCAAGAGCCGTGAGCGCTGTCGATCAGCGGAGCCCAAGCATCGAAGCCACCACCACCACCACCACCAGCTCCACGGCTCAGCATCTGCTCCGGGCTCCGGATATTGGAGCTCAGATGACAACCTGGAACGGGAGCTGTGTCTCTACCACCCTCACCACCACCAACCTCCACCCTCACCCTCACCCTCCATTTCCCCTTCGCCCATCGCCATGACAATGGGCCGCTATCCCGGCAATAACCCAGACAAGTTCCCCCAGACTCCCCTCCCCAATATCTCCTCCTCACAGTCCCAGCAGTACTTCATGATGGACCCTTACGGCACACTCAATGAGCACACACACACCCATGCACACCATGGCCACTCACACCACCATTCTGCACTCAAAGCCTCCCGGAGCAACAACGATGTGAAGTATGCAGCGTCGTCAGCATGTGTGCCAGTTAGTGGTAGCAGCAATAACAGCGGTGGCGGTATCGGTGGAGGAAGTGGCCCCTTGCTGCCACTGGGTCTTGTGGACGGGCCCCTTGTGAAGAAAGGGGCGTGGTCGTCGAGCCTAACGGTGAGCAGGGCCCGAGAGGTCTACACCAACAACAGCAGCCACAACCAGCTACGAGCCAGCGCAGGATCCGGTAACCTAAACCTAGATAGAGCTCTAATCAAATCTAAGGCCAGTCAGCAGCAGGAGCGTTCTTGCCATTTCTTACAGGTAAATAATTCCTCCCCGACTCCCATCCAAAACCAGTCGATTCACCCTTCCCCCCTCTGTTACCTCCCTTTTCTCCACGACTTACTTTCCTCACCAATGTTTCCTCTGAGTCAGTGGTGTCCAGTCCTGTGAGAGGTCAGGTCTTCAGTCCTGCCAAACACTAAGCGCTCTGACTTTGCTGAAGAACAACATCAGTTAGAGAGAGTCAAACCAATAAGTGGAATCTAATACTGGAGTGGATGGGTGCACATTCTAAAATTATGGGGAATTCAGCCACTGGTTCCAGATGTGCATAGCTGCTGTCCTAGGACATTCAGTTATTATTTTCAAGTTCCATAGAACATGAAATACTAGTCTAAAAGGAATGTCCTGTCAAAGTTTTTGGTTATCCCAGTGCCAAAATCATTTCAGAGCACTTGATATTAGCTCCTTTGAAAGTTTCCAGAATTATATTTAACCACAATGCCACAAAATGCTAGTGGGTGTTCTTCCCACTGAATAAATAATACAATAAGTGCCCGACATGATCTTCAGTGGTCTATTAGAGTTATTTGAGTGTTCAGCATTCAGGCAAGTTAAGTCATCTTGTCGGATGTAGCTGGTGAATGCAGGTATATAGCAAACACTGCTCTTTAGTTGAGGAAGAGTTGGCGGTTTTGTAGGTCAATAGATGGAGCTTGTTTGGGCATCTATTTTATCCAGGAACCGCGAGCGAATCTACCAATAAAACTGATAATCTATTATGAACAATATAAATGATATAAAGTCTGATAAATGATGAATATGCATCCTATTTTGCCCTCCCTGAACATTGTATTTAATTTGGCAGATAAACAGTTCTCCAAATGAGAAACAAAGGCTTTTAGTTTTAGACTGTTTATTTGTTGCCATCCCTCTGTAAAACTAAATAACACATTAGATAAGATCAGATAAGATAAGATATTCCTTTATTTATCCCCCTTAGGAGAAATTCAGGTTGACACAGCAGCAATAGGGCAAAGTGCAAAACAGAGAACAAAGAATATCACAATAAAAATATTACTAATATTATTATTGTTATTATTATTACTAATATTAGAAGATACAAAACTATAAATTAAAGTATATAATTTAATCACATATTGTAAGTTACAGAGCATATTAAATCGATTTTAAAGTGTGGCATATTGTTGAAATAACCCTTAACATAGCTAGTATAATTGCTACAGTCATGTGGCAAATAATTAGCACTTTGTCTGTTAGCTCAGCGCTAACATATATTAGGAATATTAATCCTGCTCTCTAATTAATCTTGATTTTGTGCATTCAAGACACTTTCTGTGTATTTTAGTGTTACGACTCACTATATACTGAACTAGAGAGTGATTTGAAACACGGCCTCAAACTTTATTTGATCAGCTGAAGCTATTTTTACCTTGCTTTGACAAAATTATAAGGGCCTGTTGGAGATGTAGTGTTGCTCCCTTCAGTTGATGAGCAAAGATGTGGGCTGCTTCTTGCAGTGCATTCTGGGAATTTTCAAAGGAAGATTCTCATGAAGGTTTAAGAGCTAAAAGCACAGGGCACTAAACATTTGGTCAAACGTACTGAAGCCCAAAGTAGAAGACAAGATGCACTGAGGGACAAAAAAAGTAATTTTATACTTTTCTACATTAAAAATGTAATCTTGTAATGTTGCTGCTTTATATGGCAACCCTGTAAGGGATCAGTGGATCTGCATCCCAGTTTGGTGGGCTGCTGTGAGCCAAAGTCCGGGGTCTTTTCCAACAAAGTCCCTGCATTGCTTTAGTGTTTGGTTGGAATGACAACTGCAGATTTACATAGCAAGAAAAGATGATTGGATATCACTGGCTAAGGCTGGGGACACACTAGATTATGATTCAATCTTCAGACAACAGACAGAATATAACAAAATATAATATATATTGGTCCTTGTTCTGTCTATGCCCGACTTCACAGGTTGCCAATAGATCCTTGGATCTTTGAAATGTTACATTAAATGTATTTAGTCTTTTAATTAATTTAAATAATTTAAAATGATATTGTGTAATTAGTATTAGGAATGCAACTATTTGCAACAATTATTTTCATTTTTTCTAAAATGTCAGAGCACATTGATAATTTGCCCTTCAAAATTTCCCAAAGAGCCAAGTGATGTCATCAAACTGCATCTTTTGTTTGACCAACAGTCCCAAAACCCAAACAGGTTTATCATTTTTGCTAAAAAGAATGAATGATTATCAACTTACAACTAGCTTACAACTAGCTCATTTACTCAAACATTTATTAATTTTAAGTTTCAACAGTTAAATCACTAAACTGGCTGTTTTTTACTCTATTGGTCTGATTAACCAATATGAATTAAAATACCTCTTGCCTGTGTAATAATATATATTTTATCAATACTATAATTCTGAATAATTGTTATGGAAGACTGGACTGTGATCATTTTTGCTTTTTAAGTAGCCTGTTGGCTAGTTAGCTATTTAACATTTTTGACTAGATCTTCATCAGTGTTAATTTTGTTGACGAAGACTGACGAAAAATATTCGTCAACGAACCTTTTTCACGGACGAAAACTAAATAAAAACTAAATAGAAAGCAGATATGATGATGAAGACTGTGACGAAATATAACTGACACTTAAGTCAGCGAATAAAAATGAGACAGAAATGTTAGGGAGGGACGAATGGAGAAGAGATCCAATCAGAACTACTCTTCTTGTGGGACAAGTTGGGAAGAAATCCAATCAGAGCGAATCTTTGAGGGTAGGTTGATCTATGCAGAGGCATTTTAAAAAGCCGCGGCAAATACAGGCGCAACAGCTAAACGAGTTTGCAGAACTTCGCACAGTTTCGAGGACGTTTTCACATCAGTTAGGTTGTTTACTTTATATTTAGTTGTGTTTAGTTGCACAGTCTTAGTTACACAGCTTTGGCTGATTTCAGTTGACTTCACTCGTTAGCAACACGCTAACGTTTTGCAGTGCACCCGGTCCGAGGGCAATGTCTCATGAACAACAGAAATGTCAGAGCTAGGTCTAGGACGAAAACGAAGAATTGACATCTGGTCACACTTCACATATGACAACAAGGACAACAAGACCGTTTGTAAACCGTGTGGAGCAAAAATCGCTCCACCACCAACTTGAAGTGACATTTACAGACGACTCATCCAGAAATACATGGAAAGGTTAGCATACACACTGAGGTTATTTTATCAGATAAACCACCCTGATTTAGTCGACTAAAATCTGCTAATATTTGGTCTACTAAAACTAGTACTAATACTAAAAGACTAAGACTAAGACTAAATCAGTATTTGCTGTCAAAATTAACACTGATCTCCATTACGGAGAAAGACCTGCAGGGTTGTGCTGCTTCAGAAGTAAAGTTGTCAGAAGAAAGAGTTTCTTGCTCTTTTTAAACAGTTGTCAAACACTGTATAAATGCAGAATGTTGCTGGCCTCTTACTTAGTTGTGTCTTCTCATTTTTTAGATAATAACCTTTACTCAGAAATATCAAAACATATTTCTGAAAAACAAGATTTGTGTAGCAAAATAAAATATAGCTCAGAAATAGAACCCAAACACCAGATGACAAACTGAAGTCTAACATCAGTTGGTAAAAAGCAGGCTTTTGACCACTCTATGGCGCTGTCTGTCATACTCTTATTATTAGGGGTGAGTGCTATGGACAACATCTAAAGATGGAGTAACCAGATGGTAAATCTAGTAAAATAAATACCTGATGATTTAAAGAATTTCCTTGCATCAATGCAAAAAAACTTCTAATCCCATACTGTCATAAAGCTTTTGCATTAAATTGACATTGCCTGCAATGGTTTTATACAGTCAGATATGTCAAAGGGATCCAGGGCTTCCCAAATATTTTTATGTCAAGGACCCCCACCATAGATGCCCAATAGACCACACACTTAATTGTGAGGATTTTGTCTTAAAGGTCCAGTGTGTAACATTTAGGATGATCCATTGTCAGACATTGAATATAATATTTACAGGTATGTTTTCATTAGTGTATAATCACCTGAAAATAATTATATCATTTTTGTTAACTTAGAATGAGCTATCTTCATTTACAGGGGGAGCAGGTCCTCTTCTATGGAGTCCGCCATGTAAAACCACCATGTTTCTACAGTAGCCCAGAATTGACAAACCAAACACTGACTGTAGATTGGTCCTTTGGCGAGTTTTGTGGGGTTACATGGTTACAACCTGCAACTTTACCACTAGATGCTACTAAATCACACACTGGTCCTTTAAGGAATCCCTTCTGAGCTATTTATTGTCAGGTGTGAAGATAAAAACATCTTTACAGTTGATCAAACTATTATTATTTGTTTCCTTGTTGTTCCATCTTCCAAAAACAAAACAAAAATGTTAATATGTTAAAGGGACATTGTGTAGTGTTTTAAGTATTTTATTAGCTAAAATCAATGTCATCATTCATAAATGTGTCCTCATTGGTGTAAAATTACCTCTGCCAATGATCTGACTTATCCTCGTAAGCAAAGAATTTCTTATCTGTATATACATTGGACGGGCAAGTCCATGGAGGCTTCCGGTCCGCCATTTTGAAAAACATCGGGGTAATGAAGGAGAAAGACTTTCAAAGGGACGCTGAAGCTGCCTGCTTTCTCCTTGACAGGTAGGCTTCTTGGTACATAACGGCTACCGTAGTTGCAATACGCATTTGAAAACGCGAGGCTCTAGAGAGCACTATTCGTTTGAATGCAAAATACAATTTCACCTCTAGATGGGAGAAATTCCTACACACTGTCCTTTTAAAATATTATATTCCTCTTTTTGCTAGGGACACCCTAAAACCCCCTCAAGGACCCCCATTGATTCCCAGGCCCCAGTTTTAAAACCAGTGGCTTAATCGTAATAAAGACCAGCCCCATCTGGCACCAAAGACCAGTCGAGAGCAAGTAACCACTTTAGTTTCACCAGCAGTCCTGAGGTTTGACATAAATTTGG